CACTGTTGTTGATATCCAGTGTTGGTAAAATATCCAGTTCGACACTTCCCGCACCCCACATCTGGCAGGATAGTGGCCCACGCGAATAGTTGACGAGTGACTTTGCTCTTATAGACTTGCAGGAAAGACTCATCATCCATTGAAGGTCCTTCGCAGATGCAGTCTGCTGGCTTTCACTGTCCAAGTCGTCGTCGCTGAGTTGCCAATGCCTCTTCAGATGTAGCAGTCCTAATCCCGGGCAATGTCTATGGATCCAGTTTATTGGACATCGGATGAACGCCATGACAAATTAAGCTGGCATTTAAGGGTCTTTGCCTGTGTTGACCACTGAAGAGAAAGGGCTGGGGTTCGATTTGCGTTATTCGAACGCATCCGCTGCCACCAATGTAGAATACCCGAGCCCTAATAGGTAAAAGGTCGGTACAACAGAACAGGCTTTATTGACCAATCAGAAGCCAGAGCCACGCGTCAGGCGCCTTCCATCCGAGTCCCCCACGCTGGCCACGCCGCTCATTATATACTGCATCTCATCCATGTCCTTCTCTGGTTGGCTGCCTTCGTTTCCCGCATGCCATTGGAACCTAGAGGGACACCGGATTGGCTGTGGCCAGGTGGTCCAACATGCCTGCGCCCTAATCCGACGCCGCACCACACCACAGGCACACCACAACCCACTGCACTACACAGTATTTCTTGGTCTGTGTGGTAATGTTAACATACCTAAAATAAATTTATTCGTGCGATTAGTCGCACTGTTTAAACGCATAAGTGTGTCGACATCATGTGCCATTTAATGTCCCTTGAATAGCAACTTATGTGACGTAGTAGGATGTTTTTCTTGGTTACGAATCGTGACAGTTAACATACCTTGATTACATCGAAATTATGGATTGTACCGCATACCCTTGAATCCTCTATTGTTTGAGCCTCGGTACCCCGTTTTTGTTTGGTATCATGGCGCGATTAATGGAAAAGAAACAAAAATTTAGTAATGATATTATAATGAGGATTATTTTATTTTAGATGGGATTAAGGATTGACGGTCTCCGCAGACATTTTCCCGTCATTGCCGTTTGTGGTGCTACCGGCACGGGGAAGTCAAAGCTGGCCATTGACTTAGCTCTTCACCTAAATGGACAAGTGATCAATGCAGATGCTGTGCAACTGTATCGGGGCCTCGATATTGCTACAAATAAAGTATGCATAATGCTATCTTATGTTGCTTTTAATTCGACATTGTGATCTAGACTGCCCCTTTTCGTTCCGCTACTCTGGCCAAATTCTAAGTATTTCCACTGATACCACGGCTTTGGAAAAGAAATACATAGTTGGGTTAGTGTGATCTTGAACACCTTAAGTTCCTGTTAAAACTTTTTGTAGGTTTTTTTTTCAAGTGAAAGTTATATATTATTACATAGTTATCTATAGAAGTGTATATGTAAAGTAAATTGATATGGGAATTGTCAAATATAATATGCTTTGGAGAACATAATATTTCAAACTATTCGTCGGGTTTGCTTATTTTATTTGCTTCGGGGCGAATTTGTGATTCCTAACCGCACTACGCTACACATCATCGATTAGGAATATTGTTTTGTCGGGTGATGTGTCATGATCACCACTGTACAGAATTTCATTGCTGCCATTTTTTCGCAGTACTTTTGGCGTGCGTTGTACACTATGTAGTGGCTGTTTGTTGTTTTGATTTACCTAGTGGAGAAGAGCTGAGTCTGTTCAATGAAAACTCATAGGTTGGTAAACGTTATTCTTTTAAGGTCACAGAATGCGAAAAGAAAGGTGTTACTCACCACTTGTTGGGTTTCCTAGACCCAGCGAAGGGATTTGTTTACAACGTGCACCAGTACCGTCGAGATTGTTGGCGCCTAATCGATGACTTGAAGAGTCGAAACGTGACGCCAATTGTCGTCGGCGGGACGCACTACTACATTGAGGCTATACTCTGGGCTGACTTCCTTCAAACCCAAGTTAATCTGTATCAGGGAGATTTTAACAAAATGGCAACCGAACCTCAGCGTTCGTGGCCGGAAGAGCTTCTGTAAGCCAAGATTCATTTGTCGTTCATAGCCTGTTCTCACTTGAACTTATTAGCCCTTTAGGGTCAAATTTAATTCCTTCTCAAAGGCAGCCTTACTTTATGGTGTTATGGATAGATTTGCCCTTTAGAATTGTCTCCTCCTTCTGGTTCTTCGTTCTGAACTTCGTGGCTTCTCTTTATCATCGTGTTTAAGAGAATGATTTTCTAGCAGTAAAAAGTCTGTAGTCCTTAGAAGTAATTTTCCAGCTACTTAGCTGTGGATAGGTTTGGCAAATCCATCTGCTTTTGTGAGGGCTCCGCGGTCATTTCTCCCTTTATCTCTAACTTTTTTAACAAGTTGGGTGGTTGTAACCCTGTTCTAAATCACTTCTAGGGCCCGTTTACCGAAGAATCCAAAGGACTACTATGGCATTCTAAGAAACCTCGATCCCGATGCTGCCATGCGTCTTCATCCCAACGACACAAGAAAACTCCAACAGGCTCTTCTGAGGGCCTTTTCTCATGACACAGGAAATAATTCTGAACCGGCTGCAACGACTTCTATAATTAAGCGGAGTTTTTCACCGCGTTACCCTCCACCAGATAGCGTAATCATTTGGCTTGACTGTAATCCCAACGTGCTTGGGCCGAGATTAGATGATCGGGTTTCCAAAATGGTGGAGCATGGCCTTATTCACGAACTCGATGATTTTCTTGGTACTGCAGCCAGGTCCCTTCTTCCAAATGTAGAAGACAGGTGTGAGAATGAGAGTAAGTCAAAAATGTGAAAGTCAAAGGTTTAGCGGAAAATTTAGAAGCAGTTTGAACGCTATGGTCTCATACCAGTCAATGCGCCACTAATGCGACCAATAATTTTTTTCTTACAAGTCCACTTCTTATATATTCCGATTTCCTCTGTTTTCGGGAACTTAAGTTAACAATTTTCTTCATAAATTTCAATAATTAAATTTATTTTTTACTACAGCTTACATCTGCACAGTTGTTTCTGTTAATTTCACTGTAACCAAAATGATATTCAAATCAGTGACTGTACATAGGAGCCACTAAAATTGGTTAATGTTGTGGTTATTTTCCAAGCTGTCGTCTGAATTTCAAATGTGCCTATTTTCTTTTATTATCATTATTATTATTGGTCGATTTTATATCTACTTAGATGGTTCAAGCTAAACTCCCACTTGTCATGTGATCAATATGAAAGTTAACGAAATATTTTGTTGCAATATTTTACCTAAAAAAATAATGTAACGCGCTCCAATGTGGGATGATAACGCACGTTTATTTCGTTAATCTCTGGGATCTGTGCTGTGGGGTTTCATCTAGTTCAGATTATCGTCAAATATCAAGACTACCTTTTTGTGATTGAAGAAACCAGACGACTTTGTGATAATTGTGAGGCTTGGTTACTAAGTCGTGCCCCGGTTTAGTTCGCGTACGCAGGTTTAACCGTCAAGAGTGTTGCTCTGTCTTTGTCCCTCGTTGCCATGGCCAGGTAATGGTCGTTTTATTCTTTTGTGTATTATCATTTGGCTTCGTTGTTGAAAATGCAACTAGGCATGATATTGATTTGACTATCCGGTTTCTTCTGTCTACTGAGCTGGTTTCTTTAATGCTATTTTGGATCCAGTAGGATGCGCTCCATCAGATTGAACAATAATTGTCTGCTTATTAGTTTCTTTAGTTCTATCTTTCTTTCAACTAGTTTAGAACCACTGCCTTGCTTTGTAGTCAGGTTTGTGTGTTGAGTGTGGATAATTGTATTTTTTTATACATGAGAAAGTCTACAGCGCTATACCGCTGATCCTCACTGGTCATGGTAACTACAAAACTTCGTTTTGTACATCGCTTGGAAGGTGGAATGCTGATATTTGCGCATTTGCTTGCATTTTTAAAATTTAATTTCTTTACACTTAATTTTGTGGAAACAAAAGCTAATTGTTCTTTTCATAATCGGACTTTTATTCCTCAAGATCTTGACAAGGGCAGAGTATTTGTTGTCCATCGACATATTTTGCCAAACAGATCACCAATCAGCCACAATCAGAGAAAAAAAACGTCATAATACATTTCACAAAAGCCATTGACGAAATTCGTCTTGTCAAACGCACGCCACACCCTTGCATGTAGTGTAAGTGTCAACTAATCTGAACCCCTTGATACCAGGGTGTTCCATTGATCAACTAGTAAAGTTGGTCTAGTTACCTGTCATAGGTTCACTAAGACAATTCAACAGTCTTGCAGATGACATCAGACTGGGTTACTCTCAGTCACTGTTTATATTAGGGGCTCCTAAAGGTCCCCGATTTCGCGCTATCCTGTAAAATGGCATGATTTGGATTTGGATGATTCTGTTTCATCTGCTGGCGATTTGGTCCTTTGAAGACCCAAGCCCTTATCCTATGGGTTTTTACTTATTAATTCTGCTCACAGGTGTTAGTGTGGAAACCAAAAAGGCAATTTTTCAGCTTGCCAATCGGGGTCTGCTTCCTTCAGTGGGTACCGAGCACTGGTGTCGTGGTGTCCTACAGAGCATCGGTTTCAAGGAATTTGAGAAGTATCTGCAGTTGTCGTCGTCAGAAAGGGACAGTGCATCAGGTCAGTTGATGCTCACTGAGGCAATTGAAAAAGTGAAGGCTGCCACACGACAGTACGCTCGACGACAGGTGCGTCATCTTAAGCAATTTTTTGTGTTTCAATTCTTAACACCTGTATTTTCTGCCACTCAGTTAACTTGGATAAAGAACCGTTTTATTCGAAGACCCGCTGCCGGTGGTATCCCTGTCTACCGCGTAGACGTAACCTCAGTGTTTACTGCCACTTCTGTGGACGTGGCTGATTCCATCTGGACTTCCAGGGTACTCCTCCCCTGCCTTGCTGCTATACGTGGAGAAGTCAGCTCTCCGGCACTAGTACCCGAGGAATTCATAGAACCAGTGTCATTGCCGGCTGATGTGTCACCTGTAACCCCGCCCCCGTATATCTGTGCTGCCTGTAATGGGCGCGTCTTTGTTGACTTTCAACAATGGCAGGATCACCTCAATAGCAGAGTACACAGAAAGAGGCTGAGCAGTCTCAGAAAAAATGAATGTAAAAAACACGTACCTGAATAAATTTGTCTACTTAGTGTCGTTCTTTTGTTCTTAGTTTGCGAATGCTGGAATTTGTGAGATGTGGAACTTAGGACATGCAGTGAAGTGGAATGTGATGCGATGTGATGAAGTACAAGTATATACACTTTTCGGATTGAGAAATAAAGTGTAGCTGTATGTGTTGGGCGTTGGGAGGTTCACGTCGATCTTGCTCGCCCGAGTGTTGTTTGCACATTGCCTTTTTCTATCTAGACCAACTGTCTCGGTGCATGACAGGATTTTCCGACTTTGTTTTGCAAGGTTTGACTGCGTTCCGTGCCCAACTCCCTGCACCTCACATTACAGGCGTAGTTCAAGGTCTGCTATTGTGGTCACATGAGTTCTCACTGATGGCCTGGTGAAAAACACTGCATGAGTGCTGGCCCTCATTTCATTCCTGAAGCACTATCTTCATTAATCTCTTCTATTTCTGGTTGGGGTCTTCTTTGTTGGGATTCTGGGTTGCTGTAATTGTTTTGTTGTGCTGTGTGTTTTGCAATTATTTAGATTGTTTAAGGCTCTTTTTATGATGGTCATATTTACCAACACAGGTCGTTGACAATGGGAGTGAAAAGGAAGATAAAAAATTTCTGTATAGAGAGGTATGAATGGCTTTTCAGGAGTGCTGAGTCCCGCTGGAACCAACACTTTAATGAATATTCTAAGGGCTACTCTGTGTTCAGAACCGGTTAGCTTTACGATTTCAGTAACTAGTATTTGTGCAGCTGTCAGTTCAACGTTTACGGATTTGAAACAATATTTCGGGCTAAAATTTTTCCGCATTGTCAGCGATGTTCCCTCCCACAACCTAAGTGGCTTGACCAGAAATGACCTGCGTCTACTCAGGACGGTATGTACAATTCCTGTCTTGTACCCAATGGCCTATAGGTGCCTCGTGATATGATCCGTTTGGTCCCCCTTCTTGTCGCTGTAGCGCTACCCGGGACAATAGCTCTTCTCCCTTTCTTGTAGGTAGTTTGTAATCGCTTCTAGTGTGGAGCAAAGGCCAAATTGGCTAGCGTTTCTTTGCAATTTTTAGTTTCGCCTTTCCTCATGTGCTACTCACCAGAGCCTTTTGGAACGAGAGACAGAGGCAGGTCTTCGATGAGGCGGATCTTCGGAGGCGCTTGATAGGACCCAATGCGGGCTTGACAAATCGACTCTCTGAGATTTCTGATCAGAAGCCATTACAGCGACAAATTAGCGGTGATCATTCTGATGTAGAAAGTGCATTCTATGATAGAAAGCTGCTAAAATCTACCCTCAATACGGTAATGCCCCAAATATCGCATAATAAGATGTAGAAGTAGTTTTATTTCAAAACACTCGGTTTTTGGTAGGCTCTGGAATGGGTGCTAAGTTGATCCTCATATTACAAATTTGCGCTACACAAGTTCGGCTAAAGTGTGGACGGATAACTATGAAGGTTTGATCACGTTGGCTAATTGTGCGAACGCGAACGGAGGTAATATTCGAGACTGCTATGTTTACCAGTGTAAGGTAATCGGTTAGTGAAAAAGATAAACAGAGGCTCTCTTGACGGTGACTGTACATTTGACCATGCTTGCTGCGCTCTAGACGCCGTGTCTGCACTATAAATGTGCACTGACGATGATCTTTCGGCTGGCCTCAGTTTCTTTACGATGGGTGCGTTTGTTTGAAGTCGAGAAAAGGCGTTCGAACCTTAGCATATCTTGGTCCGCCTGGTAATGCGCACAGTCATTTAAATCTGTGCGGCCGCGGAGTATGGATTCTCGTCTAATTTGCCGATAACAGGGGTGCGCGAGGAATCATTGTGAAAGCCTGAACAGTTATAACCCTTATTTACTCTTCGAGATGACACCTACTTCAGATTTGTAACGTCTTTTTTTTAATATCTCCCAGGGTTTTGTTGCTAATTTTCCGTAAATTAGCCCCTCTACACCCGTCACATCAATTCGGTTGCTTTAAAGCGTCAACTCGAACCACGAAAAGTGCGACTTTTGTAGCCTGAAATTGGTAAGTTACTCACAAGAAGCGTAGACAGCTTTGTTGCTGGAAGGCAGAAAGTGGATAATTTACCGAGTGTGTCATTACAGCCACCTGTTAACTGATGTCAGAGAATTTCTCATAGTGAGTGTAAATTCATGCAACTGTGCAGTGCGTCTTCCCCTCTGCGTGGGTGCGTTGCATGTTGGGCCCGAATGGCTGCTGGAGCTTGGGTCGTGTTCAGGTCATCCAATTCCATTGGATGTGTCCAACTGGTCTGGGTGGCTGTACCCATCTACAACTACAAATTTGTTGTTTTTGAAGCTATCTAAGAACGAGACACCCTCGCCAGAAGCGGTCGTGCAGTTAATCAGGCTTTTTGATGGCCCGCTCAACCTTAACGCATTGGATCATCGCCATATTGTGAGTCCTTCGTTCAGTGTTTTTGTTTGTTCATTATTTGTCTTACCTAATCTCTACCACTTTTTTGCTTGAGCAATTGAACTCTGGTTGAAAGCACGATTTGGCTTCACTACCCGTGTACCTGAAAGGAGCTTTCAATCACGGAGTTGCGCACTGACGCAGTTATTGCTCTACCGTTGCACACGGACGAGAGCCAACATCTTTGAATGCGGCGGACTTTGCAAATTAAACAATAAAAAAACATTTGATACAAGCATATCCTAGCAGACCTAGGCGATTAGTCGAAACTGCCTCTAAAGACGTGCTTTTTCGGACTGCTATGGGTTCTAACAAATGACATTCTCGTAGCGCCGGTTGCTGCTATGCTTTATCCAAGTGCCTGTGAATTATGTTCCCAGACTTTATTATGCGGCCTGCATGGGATAGTGTCATACAGGAAACCGCTGCGGACAGCTCTTGGTTATCGACGTCCTTTTGGGGACTTTCTCTTCTCCCCCATCAACCTTAGCTCACGACTGACGAGGCTCGAAAGAAGGGCGCAGCTCATATACGCAGAAGATCAGGATATTTCCCTTGATCTTAAAAAGGGGAAAAGCATCCCTCATCAGGAAGTAATGGAGGTTCGTTTCGGTGTTTTATTCTCCTAACATTCGCCAGGCTAAATGGTCACGTATTTTCGCTTCCCTGTCTTCAATCATGCAACGTTTGTTCTGCTGAATTATATTTCAGTAGACTGGAACTTAACAGTTAAATTAGTATTTGACTGAAAAAATCACGTTGACTGTTGTAAATCTACTATCGTTTTTAGTAGACATGTTATTACACGCTTTTGCATCAGATTTTCATAAACGTTTGAAGCATCGGCTTTTAACTGTGCCTTTGTGCTTTATATTTTAATTGTTAACTGACAATTAATAAAGTGCACTGTAAGTCAAAATAACCCTACAAAGTGGAGATTGCTAAGTTACCTACTAGTCAGGAGTCCGAGAAAGGAGTGAGTGAGTGTTGAGACTGCAAGAAAACAAATATTAATGAGTTTAATTAGATGGTGCTTTTGTTTTTTGGACGGCAAACAAGCGCTGCTGTCAATCGCAAAGCAATGACTTCGACCCGATCAATAAGCGTTGCTCTGCGCGACCTGCCAGCATTGTCAATGGCTTAACTATTGGTGGCGTGGACAATAACGTGAAGATAAGCCTAGCACTGATTGCTGAGTGACAAGGCGTTGACAAAGTGACTGCTTGTCGTCATTCATGGCTAACTGGGTGCACCCGAAAGTTTGGCCACTGCGACTTCTCTCCCCGCCCATCAGCAAAGGACCACAAGCATTTCATTGGGTCAGGTAATGTCTGGAGTCGAGAGATAATGGCGAGCGGAGAGAGCATGGGGAACAGAAGCTGGTAGCGTTGACACGAAAGATAAGCAACTATGGCAATGGCCGATTTGCATCAGATGAAGGTGTTTGTTGTTGCGTGTGTGTCTGGTGGAATTGTGGGGGTGCAATTTGTTGCGAGCTTCTTCTTCTTCTTCGCACGTGGCCACACACAATAACTGCGAAGCGGTCCTGCAAGCAACTCACCCAGTTGGATGCTGAAATCCAGGCGAAATGTCCAAATGTGATTAATCAGAAAAGGCATTATCATTCTTTTTGACGGAGGTGAAAAACACGTCGTTCAAAAGACACTGCAAAAGGGAAATCTATCAGTGCTCGCCGTGCTCCCCTGCCCCGCACTTTCCAAGCCTTTATTTGTTTCCTTCTTTACAGCATAGCACGAACGGCAAACAGTGTGATTCAATGTAGTCCTAAGCCATAAATTGTCCTAGGACTTTGTTTGAAGCGCAAAGAAAGAATTTAAAATTTGCAAATCGTTGGGGGAAGGTTGTGGGAAACGATGTGGAGTCCACCATTGATTAACGTGTGCCATTTTCATGGAAATGCGTTGTTTGTTGAGCTCTAGAATCGGACGGTCACGAGCTTTCGTAGTCGTCCAATCGTCCAAATAAACTATCAGCATGTGTTTACCTGGAACAAACATTGGATTATCATAAATGCGGAAATAGGTGGAATTTGCGTTCAGGGAAACCTGTTTCGTGTGTAACATCGAACTATCCATCGTTGGTATTCCGGCGTTACGTGGTGAGCGGTCAGTACCTTCTTTTTCACCTCGTTTTCATTTATTCACTTTGATGCAATGAATTAACGCTGCTTAAGGTTTTT